ATGTCGAATCAATTTTAAGAGAATTTTTAAATGTAATCTAGTCAATCTACAATTCTAACACAGATTACGAGCGTTTCTATTATGAACTTGGATAACATAATTTCTTTGTTCCTTTATGATAATGTAATTGGAATGCAGTTCTTTTTCAAACAGTACTTATTATTATGTAAAATAAAAATACGACGAAATCGTAATTCATAATTAAAAAAAAGGAGAGAGAGAAACGGACAAGAAATATGGCACGATATTTTGTGCGTTAAATTACATTAATTTTCTAGAATTCGTTATAAATATAGTTTATCTTAGCTAAAAACGAAAGATGTTGTTCCTCATATTAGAGTATTATAGACTACTTCAAAGAAAAAAAATTTGTACACCAATTATGTATATGCATCAATATAATCAAGCGTCTTCAAAGTTATTGATTGTCAATTTTTTTAATAGATTGTTAGAAGAGATCTAAAGTGATAACGTTTTAACTTGAGTTTTTTACTTTGTTTAATTTCATTTTAGAGTCACGATTCCGCTTGATTTCATGATACAGTTTTAAGGTAGAGAAACAAAAAATTCGTCAAGTTTTAAGGGCGAAGAAAGAATAGAAAAGGGATATGTAAAAAGTTTTTGGATAAGTGTTATTACTGGCATTCGATTGTACGACATTTCCTGTACTCTACCATGGGGGGACATAGTTTGTCTCTTGGACCACCGGGTTGAACTCTGACCGTTCTCGTTCTGTACCGCGATGCTTCCCCGCATGTAGCCGAGCAACGCGACCAACTAGACCATTGCGTCATTTGACAATCGACTGAAACTGATGTTGTCAATATCCTTCCATTAAATTAATTTGTATTACAAAAAAATTACTAAGAGTAAAGACACAATACTGTATTTGTTTAAATATCGATTAGTAACGTTTCAGGATATTAAAATTCCTGTCATTTCTTGTTGTATCTTTCTATATTTTTTCCCTGTCAAAATTTTACAAACTCTTCTTAATAGGACATGGAAATTCAAAGTTAAAAAATTTTCTAAAACACATTTACAGTAAAAAATGAATTATCACACGTTTCTGTATAAATTATAGTTGAAACTCACGTTCTTCTTTTGAACTTCGGTCACGATATGTACGTCGTCCTGGCCCATCGCCTTGAAGAGCTTAAATTTTCATTTTTATTTAATTTATTGTTGAATAAATCTCCGATTTAAAATTCAAATAAGTATTATATTTTTCTACTGGTACTTACAACACGGCGGGAGCTTATGACACTTCCTTTGGCGACGTAATTTCTTCGCACAGGGCTTACCATTACCCCTGGGTAACACCTAGAAGAAATTATCGACATTAATAAAAATATCTTTGTAATGAATATAAATTTTAATTTTAAAAAAGGCAGAATAAAATAATACAATTATGTACCAGAATTTCCTTTGTGCTGACTGTGAATCCACGACAACCTATGCATTTTGACCAACTACTCCATTCGGATGTCTGACAGTCGATATTTTCGGACGATTCCACTATCTGACTATCCGGTTGAATACCTTTGAATTCTAACTTCTCTGCAAAAAAATATTAGGATGCGTTAAAGACACTATTTTCTTGTTATCTACCGAATGCGTACTGCAGCGCAAGTCAATTAGAATTTGTACCTGATAATATTCTCATTGACTTACTCTGCGCGTGTTCTATACAAAATGTTTCAGTATAAAAATAAGAGAGAAACTGATAATATAATTTTCATAAACTGCGGTATGTTAATTAGCATCACCGCGGTGAGCTCGTTTCATCTTCGCGCTGCGTTGCTCCTTCGCAGGTATGTGATAGCTGAGAACGCTGCTGAGAGAGACCTTATAATCTTTCGTCATCGTTGACAAGTTCGCCCTTTCGTTTCCTGCATTCGTTTTTAAGAGCAAGCGTGCGCAGAGTAAGGGATAGAAAATTCCATTAAAACTTCCGCTTGCCAAATAATTATGCGCGTTCGAAATTCTCAACTCCGTTAAATATTAGGGTGTTTGTTCGAAGTTATTGGTTTATTATAAAGGAACTAGCTTCTCGCTGAAATGTTTTAATCACGTGACGAGACTCACTTTGAAAATCACCGCAGATTTTTTTGCAGTCCTGCTCCGTTTGGAAATTATTTCGATTCCCATCGCACCCGGAATAACTGAATAAACGACAACGGCCCGCTTGTTTGTCGAAATACGCTCGTATAATGTTGCCGCTGCACCGTCCCTTCTTCATCGGTTCGTTACAAATTTCTGTTTCGATCAATTAAAGAATATAATCACTTTATTTTTCTCCCAACAACAAATTCGCTTCCTTAATTTAATCTGAAATTAATCAATGAACGTCCTCACCTTCTCCCTGTTCCTTTGTGAAATCGCAAGTTGGAATATTGGCCACGCAGCCGGCCTGCTGCATTTTGCACTCCTCCAGGATTGCGTCCTCCTCGGTGTACCCTGCGCTACCCCAATTTTTGTTAACGAGCCTGGACCTAAATTGGACGCCGGGACCGCAACTAGAGCTGCAGGGCGACCACAGGGACCACTGCGTGTAACGATCTTCGGGACATTTCTACGTGTTTCGAAAATGAATAAATAAGCTTGATCAATTAATTGGAAATCAGAACGTCGATTCTCACGCTAATTAGTAACGTAAAAATGTACGCGTCAAACAAATCCATTGACATAAATGAACACTAGTAAATCATTGGATTAATTAAGAAAATTACGTGACGATAAATTGAACGAAATTGCAATTAAAATGGTACATGAAATGATAAACAAAACGAATTAATATTCGAATGATCCATATTATTAATTGCTCGTCTATTCATCACGCGAGTTATGTTATCCGACTTACGTGACGATGCCAGTTATCGTTGATGGATTTGCGAGAAATGGTGCAGGTGTGGTTCGCAGCGTTCGCAAAGCTGTTCGCGGGTGTGCAACGATTAAGTTATTCTGAACAATTCTGAAGATTCGTTAGTAATGGTTCGAGTTTCACGCATGATCGAGTTTAATAAATTGCTTGTTAATCTTCATGAACGAGTGACGTGTATTATGACTTTCGTCGAACAAGAACGACATTGCTTCCGCGATTCTCTCTTGTCACGTGTTAATAGTAATTGGTTACGACATGTTCTGCGACGCGATTCCATCAGCTTGTTAAGTGATTAAATTGTTGAAGACTATCTTGTGGTTTTCGTACCTGCAGCCATTCCTCGGTTACCCCCAACAGCAACGGTTCCTCTCCCTCGTAATTCTCTCTTCTAGCATCGTCATCGTTACTCTCCTGTTCCATATCATTCTCCTTATCGTTAGCATTCTCCTCATTGTTATCATTCTCCTCATTGTTATCGTCCTCCTCATTATTATTATTATTCTCCTCATCGTTATCATTCTCCTTCTCCTGGCTAGACGGCTCTCTTACCTCTTCCAAGTCCTCCTCATCACACGGGGCGTTAAAGCAGTCGAGCGTCTGTTGCAATTCCGGCCCGCCGTGGACGGCCTTGCACTGTTTGCGAAACTTCTTATTCTTAAAGTTCCGCGTTCTGGTCTTCTTACCGGTGCCGCAGGTCGTAGTGCACGAACTCCAGCCGCTCCATTCGTCCAGCTTGCATTGCTCAGTCTTCAGAATGCCTGGGTTCGGTCCTCCTTTGCTGTAAGCCATTTATTATCCTCTCAAATCCTGTTCATTGTTTAAACCCGATAATTCATAGAGTTCTACGATAGTAGTTAGAAATAACTACGCTAGAACTCTACTTATATGGATGTATAGAACAAGTAGTTTGCACATACAGCAGAAATGCTATTACCCATTGTGCATGGTTCATTTAATAGGAGTTCTTAATCGTATAACTGCATTTTATTAAATAAAAATCAGACATTAGTTGGAATTATAAAAATTGCTAAATCATCCTTCCCTTTTCCTGTTCCAGAAAAAATTGTGATAGGAACGATAAAGGCTAATTAATATGGAAGTACTTATTTCTTAGAGTTACGGCGTACGTAATCGCGCTTGACATCGTAAAATCCGATTGGCATGGTAATCTCGCGCGAAATCGTGAAATTGCTAGTCTCGTTTATGTAACAAGGAAGGACCTCGATGAGATAGGGTGCACCCACAGATCCGAAACGTATCCAAGGAGCATCAGTCTTGAAGTTTTAATGAGCCGGCAAGTACTGGGAAGGCACAATAGCTCGTCCAGTGAAAATTGAACGCGGATTATAATACAGGAACACGATAACACGTTGAATTCGATGATCCCCTCAATTTTGATGATGAGATTCTTAGAATTCGTCGATCAAGATAAAACCGTTAAATGAATCGGTATGGTCAAAACTAGTCATGAAATTGATTAGATAGCTCTTACATTGTTAGTGGAGAGAATCTTTATGTCAGAAATTGAAAAAGACTAAAAATTTCAAATGCCATTTTTAAGCCTCACTTCTCATTTCCCACAATATATTGCATTGTCTTGTATAGCGCGTTTGATCCTACGTAATATCAATGCGCAATTACCAGCGAAGCTTTCCGGAACACGGCACCTTGTCAGTTAGCGTGACGTCGCATTTATTCAACGCCGCAGCGGTTTTATCCTGGTAGTGTCTTTGTCTTAGCTTGTTGCCACGACCGCATGTCACCGAACAATCGCTCCAGTTACCCCACGGCGTTACTTTACACGCTTCTGTGAACGTCATACATAAATTATATTGCTTTCTTACCCTTACGATTAGCGGAAGCGTCGCATCTGCATAGTAAATAAATTTTAAGCAAAATTAAAATACTACAAAAATAGTTCCCATTGATAAATAAAGAATTCTACAAAAGACTATTTTACCTTTACTTTCCTCAGTCAGCTTTAACAACTCTAATATCGATTAAGAAGATTGCGGCGATACAAATTGAATATTTCGTTTCCATTGTAAAGCGAAGGCAAATAAAAATAATAAGAAAGCAATACTTGCTGCGTTTGTCTTTACTGTCGGATGACGTTGTGTCATCAGTCTCTTCACCTGTGTCAACCACATCCCCTGTCGCGTCGTTGCACACTTTCTCGTAGAGCCTTTGCCGATTTAAGTAAAGCTTGGCAAGTGGTTTCATGTCTAAACCGGAAGGATCGTAGAATGGAGATCTCGGATCGTCTGGATAGCTCGACGTTATACGCCGAATCGGTTCTTGAGGCTCCGTCGGCTGATCCGGCGACTGGAAGCAAATTCGTAGGCGATTCGATTCACTGTAGTGATTATTTAAAAAATTAGTTGGATATTGCAATTATGATAATGAAAATAAATTATTGTACATTTGTTAATCAGTGAAAGAATATAAAATAGATTAAATTAATTTCGCTGTTATAATTCTGTCAAATAATTTAATTACGAATCGGGCTTCCGTCTCATTGTTGTTTCACTAGGCACGTGCACTTATGGATGTATTGGCTATACAGTCAATCCCAAAAGTTTATGCACTTTAGAAACGCATTTTTCAAAANGCACGTAGCTATTTACTATTAGCATTGTTCTTCCGACGTCTGATTTCTTTTTAATTATAGCAAATGCGTTTTTCTTAACTTTTGGGATTGACTGTATAGCCAATACATCCTTATACGTTCCTCGTCGCGAATCACGAGGACAAAAACAAACGAAACGACGACGTATGTTCGCTAGCAGTGAAAGGCGGATGCGATGCTACGCGACGGGAGAAAATTTCCCGGTGGGCCGGAAAAGCGTCGCGTCGCAGGCTCGCGTTTACCTCTACAACGCCGTCAGCGATTTTTCACACGATCCGCAACCCTATTGTCGATTGTTAGGCTCTCGAAGTCTGCTGTCGAATTTATTATGCGATTCGAACGACAGCTTCTGACGTTCATTTCGCCTTTACAAATGAATCCTATTCACGCTGACGTCGTTATATGTTCCAAAACGGGGTTAGTGATATCGTTTGAAAAATTCTGACGATTCTTACATGGAGCAAAGATAGATATGTATAAATCAATTCTCTTCATTCGAAAGTTTTTCATCTCTTCGTAGTATTTATTATTTTATACGTTAAATAAACTAATTGACGCAAGCAAGCAAATCATTCCAAAATAGTGGTGGCAATGACAAGAGTGTATTTCATTTAAATATGAAAACTTTGCACTTACCAAATAAGTGATTCCACTATCAGTGCCCGCATCGTACGGATACAAGTTGAGTTCTTTGTGCTCGATCCAAGTGCAATCTTCCAGGCATAGTTCCAAACCCGAGACACCGACAATCCAGTCCGGCGAAGGATCTATAAAATCGTTTCTCACTGTTCATATCACAGCCGCGACGAAAGAAAACCGATCGATCATAATTTCTCCGACTTCCGATTGGAACCGCGACGTTCTTGAAACTTTTAACAGGTACTCTGGCATTAATTTTAGATTCCCGTTTCAAATGGAATTCATTCACAGTTATTATCAGTTCGTGAATTACATTCTTTTATTGGAAGTTCGAGAACTAAAGTAAAAGGGCCACTTAAGGATGAAAAAATATTCTTTATATTTTTTATCTGTTCTCGAATATTTTTATAATTGTAATTCTATATCAGTGAATTATTAGTATACTCACCTAACATGGACACTAAGGACATGAGATGATGTTTGCGATCGACGCGGAAGACTGCAAAAGTTTTCCCGGTGACGTTGGGGTAACTTACACCTCTGGCCTTAATTATCGTCCTAATATGTTCACTCTGTAAACAGTAAAAAACGTTTCTTCGTAATTAATACTTCAATTCATTACCAGTTATTAACACTTTACTTGTCTTTTTAACTCGGATTCTAATTTCCTCGTCGACCCAAGTTCAGCCACTTGTCGCAGACCATCAGAAGCCAATTCGTTGTACCTCCAGAATCTGTAATCGCTGGTATGCGATGCCCCAATAACATCGGAAAATCGAATCAGCCAACCCTTGCTAGGAAAATCCTGCAAAATAACCGATAAGCAATATGGAACAGAATATTTTTTAGAAGTGATCCGGGAATTGATACTCTGAAATATCTAATGGATTAAATTCTAGATAATCTGAATGCGCGGGTATATAAAATGTGCATCTGTATTTATCTAGATTTTCCTTCGTAATTTCTTAAAAAACTTGCTGGATCGATGCCAATGTGAATTTTATTCGAGGAGGATGTCTTTTTACTCTTACGTGCCTTGGGATGGGTATTTCTCGACCAGAGTCCTTCGAAAGTAACTTCGTACTTGGCTTCGTCGCAGGAGCAGCAGGTTTTCAACACCGGGCCCTGATCGTCCGCCTCGACTTTCGAGTCTTGACATATCTTCAACATCAAGTTCGAGTCGTCCATGTACCACGTATCCGGCGTTTCCAATATCGTCGCCCTGCGGAGGAAAAAACAGCAGCGGGTAGAACGCGTGTCACATGTTGCCGAAATTGGTTTACTCCGAGCACTGGGGTTCACGGATAAGTTATATAATATATTTATGAGCAAATCTCGGTGTATTATTATAGTGAATAGTGTAATATAGTGAATAGAGGTAAGCAATGGTTATTGGAAATATTATACGATATAATCATGCCGATGCAGCGCTGCAAAACAGAGAATATTTAATTGCTATTGTATTCTTATTAAAATATCTCTTCACCTGATAAGTATGCAACCGCTACCTTCGGAAGGGCTGGTCCAGGGCACTGAGATTTCCTCTTTAGACACTTCCGAGCTCTCCATCACGGCGTTTGGACAGGTATCAGAGTATTTCATCAATATTTCATCCTGCAGGTCGAAAATGCCGCTGTCCGCCGAGTCATCTTCGCTCTCGGGTTCAGCAGTCATCAGGAATCTCGTGAATCTCCGAGGGAATATGCTTAGACTGTCCGCCTGTACCGTCACTGAAATCAATATTTTACAAGTTCCGTTCTATACTTATTAAAACCTGGAAACGTGAAATCTTTTCTGTATTGCAAAATTATATTCCTTTTCTCATTCCTCCTGTAACATAATGCAATTGAAAATGTTATTAACATGCTTTCGTCGAGAAATTCTGTATCTGTATAATCTCCGTGTAGAGAAGAAATTATTTGTACGATCAAACTAGGAATATGATCTCCTCGTTCTGATTTATAACTTAAATGAAGAACACGATGTGTCGTGAATCTACAAAGCGACTTTAATGAAGCTCGCGTTTTTTTCAAAGGAACGTCGCTGCTGAGAAACTGGGAGACAGACGATGAGGCTCGGTGATGCATACATTTTCTGTTAAATTAAGAGCAACGAGTTTTTAAACTTTACTGGTTAATAAAAAAATTGATGAAAATGAAAATGCGAAATCTGTCCGCGTGGGAATTTGTTTCTAATTTGACGGTATTTAAATTAATTGCAGATTATTTAAACGAGAAAAATGGTTCGAGTAAATTCTGCGACACCTCGAACGAACGTTTTGTGCAAAAATAATTTTTGTACATACGTGGGGCAAGAATTGGAGGAAAGTGAAAAAACGAATCGATCGAATTCGTTGAACGACAGCTTTTAGAATTTAAATCGGCGTGAAAGCGAGCTTGCTGAACTTGAACGACTGTTTAAGCAGACCGTATATTCGGTGCCTTCTCTTCCAGTCGATTTTACTTTGACTCGAGCTCATGCGTGTACATCAGGGACGTCACACGCAGATGTTTAGAGCATGTATGGCTTCCAGTATTAACGGGTCTTCGTAAACTGCGTCTGCCTACCACGAATATTCACTCGTCACTTAAATGTTAATCACTATACTGGCTGAACATTTGCCAAAGCGCGTATTTTATTTAACAGGTTTTATAATGGATTGGATATCGACAAACTTGCGAGCTCTCGGGATCTCAGAGGGCTTGGAAAATTTGAGAGTGCCTTAAATCGAAAAGCACCGAAGGTATCGAAGATAGAAGCCTCGAGAATTTCAAATCTACGAAATGTGCTGAAAATATATTGAAGTCTTTCAAAATTCCAATATCTTCGAAATTACGTATCATGTATAGACATATTGATAAAATCTACATTTACAACTTGATACAAATAGAAAAGAATCTATAGAAGTGAAACGCGCACATTGTTCTTCGAGATTTTGTGCGCGTCAACCCTTGGTATAAAATGTTTTCCTAATTGTAATGGAATAACATTAAGTAAATCCATTCTGGAAATTCGTTTGCGTCAGCGAACCAATGACTGGTGACCTCCGGCGATTATTCCCATAACCCTGAATTAGAAGAATTAACGAAAAAGCGGGAGAGGGCAGAGAAAAACAGAGTTAAATGAAACCTTCGCCGGTGTATCGTGTTTCCCACGCTTGGCACACGCGAGAAGAAAGAGGCGACGCGACGGGCGACGGTACGCTCGATTTTGCAATTTCGCCTTTGGAAAAAATCTTGTTCGACGCGCTGCTACAATATCTAATCTGTTAACGTGATTAGGGCCAACACTTCTAAGGTGCTTTCCCTGAACGCCAGATTTTGTTCTTTGTTATCCCTGCTTTCCTATCGAAGAAGTTTTTTAATGGTAAACGCGACAATTGAGACTGTAATTAAATGTTACAATAATAATTTCGAATATCAATATTTATTCTTATTATAACGATCAATATTATTTTTTAAACACTATAGAAATTGGATTGTGTCTGAAATTGAACTGACTTCGCATTCTGTCCAGGTAGAACGAGAATTAAATTGTCACGTTGCTTGATCGTTCCTCCGTTTACGTTCTTTTGAAACTCTCCGAACGTAAATCGCAGAGATTTGTTGTCTGCGACAAGGTTTAATCGAATCCACGATAAATGTGAATTCGCCTCAGTATTTCCCCTCCAGAGTTAATTCCTATCCAATTTTCTCTCGCTCTGATTTCACAGCTTCCTCTATCGTATTTACATTAATATCAATTAAGACTCTTCGCTTTAACGTTTTGGAGTATAATATTCCTTCTGTCTGTGCGGTGTAAAAGGGAATGAGCGTTTAATTCGGGATGCGATTTACGCGGTGAGGAACGAGCAAAACAATTAAGCGATGCCGGCACTTAACATTTTGAGAATGAAAAACAGGAAGAACGGGGGAGTTTTAATTGCGTCGCGTGTGTGCAAAAACTGCTGCAATTCACTTTGCTCCGCGTCTTTACTATTCGTTAGAGCCTCTTTTTTTGCCGACGCGACCCTTGAAAACACTCGGAAACTGAATTCGGAGGGATGACCATAAACCACATTCCCCGCTCTGCTGTTTGCGCAGAATTGTCCTTTTCCGCTGCGGTTCAAACAAAATTGCTTCGAGGTGAGAGAAAGAAAATGAAGGATCCTGGCCTCGACATCGTGCCCGAAAACACCATCGCGTTCACCGCAATTTTCTAAATTAAACTTTTCACCTCGTTTTAATCAAACTTTTCAACGCTCTCAGTACGTATACACGTGATTGATCGACGCGAATTCAATTCCCTACAGAAACAGATTCATTAATAACGAAATTGTTTTATAATATCGTCTACAAATTGTTAACAGTGGTGCAATGGTATAAATTACATCATTTAGAATTTTCTCATTCATATTTCGGTTGTATCAATGTGTTCATACATTATACAATATTTAATTTTCGATTATGCCAATATGAGGAGCAATCGGCGAGTCTTAATATTGGCCGGCTTTGTAGCCACTTCTTTGGTTCGTAAATAATGTCAGTATCTTATTCGAGTGCTTTTGATTAATTATACGGTGACTTCTGAAGAGGAATGTATCCGCCGCATTTACGATTCCATACGGATGCTCCGGGTTCATTCGTTGAACTGCATCCGCGTCGGATCCGTGGGCTTGGCACCTGGCTCGCGGCCAGGCGCTAGCGTTACGTAACGCATTAATTCACCGACTCCACGGATTTGCATGCGTTAGTAGTTACCCGTGGATCGTCTCCGGTTCGCGTCTCGCCGTTTTGCGTCGCGTCCGTTTAATTTTCGATAATTGGATCGCGCGTTTCGCTCGATAGCCGACGCGAAATGGATTAAATGCGACGCGTTGCCCGATTAATCGCGCGAACCCTCCGCTTCCCTCAGCTAGTGTCCGCTCGTCTGTAATTGACAGCGTGAATCAGAAATTTAGAGTTCGTTAAAAACTGCTAGAAAATACTATGTTATTCGTGATGTACAGTGACTCATTTATTTTGTTTATCGAATTTTGATAGATGAACTTGCTTAGTGATATATTTAGTGCATATTGTGGTATCTAAAAGACAATGCTTTATGAAATTCTTGAGTATAATGAATTCTCTAGTAATCATTCTTCATAAAATAATTTCCTTCGCATAATAGAGCGCAGACCTGGTGTCGAATTTAAAAAACGGGGACACTTCTTTCCACCCGGTCCGGAGACCGCACACTCGTTTTTACGTTCTAGGAGATAGTTTTAGACCGGCGTTGAATTGCCACTGTGCCCTGAATTCGACTATATCTAGCACCGCGCCCGGCGATAATACGTTAGAGGTTTCTCGGGTTTTTTTCGATAATTGCCGCCATTATCCTAGTAGGGGGCAGAGCTCGTGAGAAATCTTTCTCCTCGGTGGTCCATCACTGACTTTAACGACTCTCCTTTGTGAAGATACAGTGCCCATCAGGAGAAGACCATTTATAGCTAACTACATTTACTTATGAAACTATAAATCTACTGTTTAATGAAGCATTATCGTTTCCCTTTTATACCGTCGTTTTTCACTTCGTTAACGTCAGTCTCCGTGTTCTACTTTCAACATGCCCTGGTTTAAAATCAAACAAACGCTTTCTGACAATACAATTAATGTGTATCGTAAATGGAGTTTACTTCTTCCTTTGTCATGAACAAAATTCAATAAGTGACTGAGGACGTTGCAGCCGAATAATTACCTGGCCGTCAAACAAACAAGTAATTCGCAACCTGGTACTTTCGACCGTGTTCCGAGCCCATCCAACTATTCAAAGTGCCCACGAAGAGAATTAAAACTTTTACCCTCCCGATCCCCCTTACTAACTTCTCCAATGGCCAAGTTCATTATTTAAAAGTACGATTGTCGCTTCCATCAGACTGTGTGCGAATTCATTTCTCTCGGCGAAGATACAATCGGTTTTTGCTCACGTGAACGATGGTTACAATGGTTTAAGGATGTATTGGCTATACAGTCAATCCCAAAAGTTTATGTACCTTAGAAAAACGCATTTCCTATAATTAAAAAGACATCAGACGTCGGAAGAATAATGCTAATAANAAGTGCATAAACTTTTGGGATTGACTGTATAGCCAATACATCCTTAAGTAAATCTTAAAGCTTCAATCTGAACTGCACTTACCTGTGTATCTGGTGTTAGGCATGTAAGCGAAGACCATCTCCGTTCGGTTGAACAGGGTGATGAACATGTGGTACTTTCCATCGGCGTTTGAACGAGGCATCGTGGTGCCGTCGATCAGTCTGCTACATTTTGACGCCCACGTGCTCGTCACTGCCGCCAACAGGAACAACAAACTGCGAATATCCTTTAAACTTGTTATCCTCTGAAAAAAGAAAGGACAAACGGTTGCTGTCAAAGCTGCATGATATTTAAACAAATTGAAAATTAAAACGTGATTGAGGAATAGCATAATCGAGACTTCAAACATTACATGAAGTGAAGATGTAATCAATCCTTTGAATAAATCACTCTATTTCATTTATAAGGATATTACATTATTCATTCAGTTGTTTTTTATTGGAAATGAATGATTTAATCGTTTGGTAGCTCGGAAATAAACGGTCAGAGAAAGGGATGAAACTTTTGTTCCTGTTTGACCGTCGCCTCGATTAATTCACAGACAGTGTCGGAAATTGTCTAAACCGGGCGCAGTAAATAAGAATGATGCGTCACAGCCGGGATTAGGATCGGAAACCGATTGACCTAATTTATCCGTGATCACACCTACGACAGATGGTACCGTACGAGGAGTTCTCATTCCGCGCGGGTGAAAAAGATTTTGTTTCTTTCTTTTCCTCGCTGCTGGAATCGAAACCATGCTCGCGTATTCTCTGCACGCGTGTAAATCAATAAGAAAACGGCCATCCGATCACTATCTCAATATATATACATCGAACCTTTTCCCAGGGAGTTTTAGAAGGGACAAAAAATGGGACGACACGAATACACAATTTATCTATCCTAGTAGAAGCAGTACGTTTATTTTATGGTTTAATATCGTGCAAAGAGAATAAAGAATATGACTCGAGAGACTACATGGAAAGAGTCTACTCGTAATTATAGTTACATGAAATATTTCATGTTTTACATCATTATTAGTTAAGAATCGATGCATGAATCATGATTGGAGTAAATTAATAGACAGTATACAGAAACTGTTAGTTCACACGGTTCTGCTGGCGTGTTCCATTCGATCAGCTGATAATGCGATTTTCTGTTACGCAATATGTACGTCCGGGGCTTAGCGTACATCATTGACGTTCGCCTTGATGAAGATCTTGGCCGTGGCGATTGCTACGAATCCGTTTACATGCTCGGAGAGAAAAATCAATGTCGTAACACGGAGTTACGCGAATTGTAACGGCCGATGAGTCATGAAGACTACAAGCCAGCGAAATCAGATTAAAGCGTCTCGCGAAAATTTAATATTAAATATTTGTCAAAGAATTTCTGCGTATCTGTTTTATTATACTTTATTATTAAAAATTAATCAACCAGGATTTATCATTCGATTACGATTAAAAATTCATTTCAGAAAACGCTGTCCATTTTAACTCGGTAGTAGTAAAAGTATCGGAATTTTATTTTTAATTGTATTTAACTCCTATCGGAGAAAGAAATTGCTTTTTAACTCTGTTAAATTGTCCTCTGGGGCAGCAATTTCGCATTAACTCGCCTAATATAGATTAATGGATTGCTTTTCATAATGCTTTTAGTGCATTACCAGTTTCCCCGTTATATTTCGTCGAAATTGTACAAAAAAGTATTTATTATAGTATTTGTTACTCTGTTAATATCCGGGCTTATGCATAATCCTTTATGCAAATGTAATAAACGGAAGTTTAATTAAACTAGTTCAGTTCCGCTTACAACTCGCATAGCCATTAACGTAAACTGTTGTTTGATAGAAAGTGTAGTAGCAAACAGATCTGGAATGGTCGATATCATCCAAGAATGTTTACTGTCAACGATGCAGATTTTTTTTTAACAATGAACGATTACCTAACGCAATAGGCCGATAAGAGCTGTCGATCCGTCGCGGTGACGGCGATCTTCTTTTCACCCGCGCGCGTGTTACGTTCCATTAATTACGTAACGCGTCGCATTGTGCGACATAGATGCAAATTTCGGTAGATTCACGTGAGAATGTGAAACGTCACTCCGTTTAAATTAATTTGCAAAGGTAACGCGCGTTAAAGTACGAAGGGATTAATTTATAATTCTCGTAGAGAACGTATCGATGAACAAAAAATATGTGGAATAATTTCTTGTTGATTTTTCTCGCAGTTCAAACACATAGAATTACTGACCGGACGTAAAATCCATACCAAGCTCGTTTCAATTAAATTAAAGAATAAAAGATTATTGAAGCTAACAGTTCGTATCGAGTTCCCAGAAAAGCAATATCAAATGATGAAAATCGCGAGATATCATGATTCGCGTTTCGTGCGTGTTGTCAAACGGCACCACGCGCAGAATGCAGTCAACAGTTAAATTAGAATAGAAGTATTTCGCGGCGATGCACGTGAACGATCCGCTCTGGTCAGTCGCTGTCGGACACGTGCGAGGAAACGTGTGCTCGTACTACTTCGGGCGCGTCTTACGTGCATACCAGTCACTGGCTATGACAGTGAGTCATCTTGGCAGACGAACGGTTTTCACCGATCTTTCTCTTGGCGCCATACCCAATAAATTGTACTACTTAAAACTTTTACTGTTCGCGAAGACGTTTTTCATGTTATTGAACAAGATTTTATTCTTTATAGAATTATTTAATTAATATATAATTTAATAATTTATATAATTTAATTCTTTATAGATTAGCCTTCCTATCATCATTATTCGTACTAAGAATTGTTTGAACGTTATTCAATACCTGAATTTCCAATCAGGAAATTGATACACGGATGGTTCAAACGTTATTGGTTTGGTTGCGATCTGAAGCCATTGAAATTAACAAAGAGTTGCATTTCATCAGTTGGGAATCTATTCAATGCATTTGATTGAATTTCGGATCATACAAGAGTGAAATTCTGCAAACATGAATAAGTTGGTATGCTATTTTTGCAAACGCAGTACATATGTACCTATTTTCTGTTAGATTCAATCCACTGGTTGAGAGGTGAAGCCGGGTTACAGTTGCAACCTGTTTATTGATTTTATGTAAGATATGCAAATGAACGGTGACTCGTAATTGAGTACATAAATTCTAGGTCTGCTGTCACGCATTAGGCTGAAAAGTAAGCCTAATAAGCCCGCTTAACCACAAATTCGCCGGCTAAATATATTGGTTCGAAGACGGTGCATATAGGGCAGGGTATTTAACTCGGCCTGGCTCTTTGGCTGGCACACTGCCATTTACGCTCTATATCCTCGACACTGCGAGCACTGACAGAAATTCAAACAATACCTACGGCTAAACCTTACGACCATGATTTTCCCGTGCGGTATTGGTGCCTCATTATTCGAGAGTTTATGCAATTCCTTTCGCCAAATTCCATTCGCGTGTCCAACTTTGTTTTCATTTTCCGTCCGCAATAGTTCATTGTGAAAATTCCGGTAAGCTGCATTTCAGCTTGATTAGTCGACTACGTTCGTGGTTATTCTGTTTCCAATTTCTGGTTGCGTGCGACTGAATATTTCGTAAACAATTTCTTCCTCACGTTCGATTTCTTAAAAGAATGTCTCGGAAAAGGCAAAAATTCTTTCTTGATTCCGAGTATCGAACTTTTTCAGCAGAATCGAGAGCAAGACTTGAATTACTCCCATTATGTGAGAGTAGGTGAGGAAATGAAGTTGAGGGACGAACGAAGTGGAGCAAAAAAGGTGAGAATAGAAACGAGGGGTTCGGGATTGCGTCGGGGGTGGGTAAAACTGCGAACGACAGATTGCGATGAGTGCCAATACGTCATCCAAGTGTCAATAAGTCGAGCCAGGCCGCTTTTAAGCCACTGAATGGTTGGCAATTTCCGTGAGCGTATGGAGATTCGGGCAGCAATGCGTTGATCGTGTAGAGTTGTCAATTGTTTCTATTCGCGAAATCGTCAATTTTAATAAACAATGGATCCATATTCAAACAATAGATCCATACGATTCGCGTTGTAGCTTTGTGAAATGCAGAGCGATCAGTCGATAAAGGAAATGAGAGATATCAGAAAACAAAATAGAAAATAAAAATACAATAAAAATAAATTGTTCATAAGTTTTCACACATACCATTGCATATCTTCAATATGAAGTGTTTGAATTTCTCATTATTTTAATAACATGAATAATTAATTACTTAACTATGTGTCGTTAACTGAAAAAGAAGATTTTATTATCTATCAGGCATTATAGTCACAATCAGTAAATTGCTAGTTAAATCATCTATTGCGCGTAGATCATTCGTAGTATTGTTTTGTTTATCGTTGCGAAACGTGTACTTCGAGATAAAAATACCTCAACGAGTCTTTTCAGGGGTCATTGCCAGCCTGCACCCTTGTTGCACTCGTGACCTTTTGCAGTGGCACTCGGTAAATCTTATTTATCGAACGGATCGATATCGGAATGTCACGTATCTGTGCACACTTGAACAATTCCGTAAACGTTTCATATCGAGATTTGAACGACGCAACTCTTACCACGTCTCTTCGTTATAATTTATTATTAAAGTAATGCTAATTGATAAGAGCAACGAAATAGAATTTTACCAATGAAACCACTATCGTCATTGAATGCAAATCTTTTTCAAGTTCAACCTAAGTTCGAGCAAGTTTTACTATACTGAAACTTCGATGAAGACGCATGCATAGAATTTAAATGACTTATGCATCGGCGAAACAGTAAGGAAAGTAAAGATGTTCGCTTACCATCACGGAACGTTTCTCATACGAACGAGGAGAACACGTGCACCGGACTTTATAACAGCTGGTTTCCGTGCTTCATGTCACGTGCTTTGAACACAATTGAATTACGCATTCGAAAGAAACGTTGCGTTCGCGGGTCTCCGGCCAACTGACAGCGTCCGACGAGGTGGACTAATAACAACCCACCGCTTGCGCGGCCCCAGTTGCGCAGTGTTTCAAAGGAGATTATTCTGTAAGGGTCAGACGCGCCATATCTGGACCACGGAGCCAAATTCTAAGTCCATTCGAGTGAACTCTCATTCACGATGTTGTAAATAATTCGCCAGAGAAAAAGTTAATACTATGACATTGATTTTAAATAGCATTGGAGAATAAGAAGTCTGAGCATTCACGATATTCCCATGAGCCCTTTTTAAAGAAAACAGCACCCATCAATTAGGTCGGCCTTGCTCCCGGTTAAATTGCTTCGTGAATCATCTGTGCGAACACTTTTTGACAATTCGTGGCGCCTATGTTGTATAACACTCATTTCTTATACGTTTCCGTTTGGACACGTGGCCTCGTCCAGACGTTTAGCCTTGATTGCCTTAATAATCGTAGTTATATACTAAAGAGGAAATATTGTTACAGTATTAATTTGAATTTTTTAATTTCAACATATATTTTAATCAGTTGATGTTCATCGTAACATAATAAAAATAAATAAAATAGATAATATTGATCCGTAGTTCAATCTCGTTTTAATTAAAAGCATTTTCCGATGCGCGTACAATTACGTTAAACTAAATTGCGAATTAATTTGTCTGATTTATCCAGCACGATTAAAGTCGGTGATATATTCCTAATGGAAACGTATTTATATAAATGTATTTCTGATGAGATTGGTCGTTCTCATTGAAAATAACAAAGTATGGAACGAGTCAGTGACAATTGCCTGGCAGCTGGGCGCTCGTCATTCATCTTTCCCGTTCTTTCCTGACGTTTCGCGGAACCTAAGTTAAAAATCGTCGTGTCGCATCCCCTTTATCGAAACCCCGTGATTGGAACGCGACGTCCGAGACAACCGATACACGGCCGTCCGTGTCCGTCGTTGCCCGTGTACGAATTTAACGCCGAGAACGACGATGGTCTAACTCGCGGACAGCCTTGTCTCTCTCGTAAAAAAGAGTCGTGTGCTTGGCCGGAGCCAAGGCAAGTTAAAAACGGTGCGGTTGGCGTTCAATGTCGCGAAGTCGTCGACTGTCTTGATCGAGTTGGACGGACGGTCGTGCGATCTCGCTGCCATCCGACCGGCAGGAACATGAAATCGAAACCCAACCACTTTCCCGAGAACGCCGCAAATTCGTCCACGTGTCGCAGTCGTCGAAATCCGTACCGTGTCGCAGTAACAACGCCGAGCCAACGACCACAATAATGAGCCAAACGACGGCGAAGATTCAAACGTCAGGTTGTGAAACCGATTCCTCTTCCCCTCGAATCATACATTATTTGCCCTGCATTTCAATAAAGATGTTATCATCGCTACTTTTATTTGATCATTTTCTATTCCCATTTCCTGCATTCGTTTTATTTGGGTCCGATGGGACCGATGGTTTGAAAAAGATTGACAGGTTTACGGTTTGAGGTATTCTTTTGATGGTTGCATTGTAATCAAATTTTATCGATGTAACCAGTGGCTTTAATAATTATATTTATTACGTAATGAATATATTGACGTACGTTAGATGTTTAACGAGATATAAAATGCGTGTATCAGAAAACGAGGAATCCATCAGCGTCACCGAGAAGAGTGCAATGTCAAGCCCAGGTACCAAGAGTGTTCCTCCGAAGAACAGAAGCCCGATGTGTCATCCAGCGCGCAATTCGATTCAAGTCCGTACTCCCTGTGCCCATATACTTATTAAACATTAATTTTAAATCGTAATAGAGTTTAAGACGTTATACGTGATTCCAGGGAGAATCTAATTCCACAGAAGATGGACCCGCGACCACTAAGCCACAGAGTGCTCGAATTCCGGTCGCACGGACAGCCGGGAAATCATCCGTCAGTCCGCAAAAGAGGCCGACTATGAGTAGTCTGCCTTCTGGATCCACGCTCAGACCCGAGAATCAATATACGATGAAAAAGAAACGATTTCAAGTGCTAAAGAAAGAGTTGACAGACAAACAGGTATAGTTCGAAGTATTAGCACCATCAAACTTCAAAATAATGTAAAAATTACTATATACTTCTGGCAGAAAATCGCCCAAGAACTGTACAACGACATGACCCAGCTACGGGAGAAATTGGTCGCTAATGGGAAGGACCCGGGCAAACCCGAGACTATAAAAATCGAAATCGGGTCTCCTAAACAATTCCAGCCTGCCGATATAACTCTCCCTACCGAGCCAGTCGACTTACAAGTCGAGAAGTTGACCATCGGCAAGGAGCTACTCGAGTCCTTGGGGGATCGGTTAAGAGCTATACCGAAGAAGTCGCGGAAACTTTGCCAAGAGCTTTTGGAGAAGCAATCGGATTTCGTAACCTTCGTCACTTCGCATCTGATAACTGCCAGCAGGGAGGGACCCGAGTCGGGCGCGCTGAACTACGAGGTGACCAAGCAGCTGGAAGCTCATCAGAGGGATTACGATACTCTTCGCTCGCGACTGAGCGAGGTCGACGAGACAGAGGAGGAAGCGATCGCGCAGTTGACGAGGAGCGTTCAGCACCTGATCGACGAGTACGAGCGTTCCAGGGTGAAGATAATGGAGATCAACGCGGCCGAGGCGCAGAAAGAGTTGCAGATGCAGCTGCACACCGCTATGGAGGAGATGCAGGTGGAGAGGGATAAGAACAAAGAGAGCAAGGAACGGCTCCGACAGACAGAAACGCTGCTGCAGAAGTCGAAAGCGAAAATCCGGGAGCTGGAGACGCAAATGACGAACGACAAAGAGAAGATCCTGTCGCTTCAGACGAGTCTGAAGAATTTGGAGGGCCAGATGAAGCAGAAGGAGTTGGCCGTAGAGGCGAAATTGAAGGATATGCAAAAGGCGATGAAGAACAGCGAGGATTTGGTGTTGAAGGTGGAGAAACAAAGGGACACTTTCGAAACACGGTTGTTTTCCATACTTTTCAATACGCCTGTATTTTCGCGATGCGTCGAGTATCTTGAGTCCTTTCTCTCTTCCTTTCCCTTCGTTTAATCTGTTTTAGATTCGTGGAATTGAGGGAGAAAATGACCATAAAAGAGAACGAGACGATGGGCACTATCAAGGAATTATCTGAGAGGCTAAACTCTGTTACCACGGATGTTGGAGTGGAGAGAGAGAAAAGGTATTAAGACGATTTCTTTTCTACGAGCATTATCATACTACTTAAATTGTTTAATAAAATAGACTGCAAGCTGAGGAGGAGTACAACGAGTTGCAGGAACGGTATAAAAATCTCGAAGTGAAGAGTCAACAACTGTGCGAGCTCGCGGAGAAGAACAAAGAGTTCACCGTCACTGGTACGAAAGATGAGAAATTGAATAATTTCAGGATAAGAATTTCCGTGAACGATGTTCCAGAGGGAAGCCATACGGAGAACGAGATGAGGCTGTTCAACGAGCTGCAGGAGACCAGGGATGAGCTGCAGAGGCAGAGGCAGGAGGTGTTACAGCTGCAGCAAGAGAAGGAAGAGATCGTCGCAGTGATGCATCAAGCGGCCGTTAGTTTGCACTACTTTCGGGACATGTCCTCGTATAAGTCCTAACACAACCGCTCGATTCGATATACCTTCGTTTGTTAGACACACTTTTATCGTAATCAATTGCGAGACGGTAATTTTTTCATTGTTTCTTCCTCTCCTTTTCCTGTTCCTGCCGTCCGATTCAGAGCCGCGAAGAAGACGACGACTCGAGGGAGAAGCTGGCCGCGGAATTGGTGTTCAAGTCTAACGAGCTACAAAACCTAGTGATGGAGCATACGGAATTGAAAAAGGTTGCAAAAAACGCGTAAGTTGTTGTAGCATTAGTGTGAATTACAAATACAAAATAATGTCGCGTTTAACATCGTCATTACTAAGTTTTAATAGTGAAATAAATATAAAATCATACATGGAATTTATTATCGTTTAGTAGATTGAAGGTGCATACTAATTACACCGTATGAAGCGTGTCTATCAATATAATTGTAAATTAATTCCGATGAACTTCTGCTCTCTTTTCACGTGAAAATATCTAGCCAAGAAAAAAATGGGATCTTAGAAAGACAGTTGATCGAGATTCAGAACAGGCTCCATTCTCAGTCTATGGAGGGTGGAAAAGCTGGGTTAAGCGCTCATGCGATTGAGCTACAACAAGAGGTCTCCGATCTTCGCAATAATTTGACGGAAGTAGTTCAGCAGAAGGAGGAATTAGAGACGGCGCTGACACAGAAGCAATTGGAGTTGGAGCAGCGCGATCGTGTGATGCGCGAACAGAGCAAGTTCCTGAAAGTCAGGGACGAGTTGCTCGACATTCTGAAAGGAAAAGTGCAGCAACAGGAAAACGGTGAACTGTCGAACATTGACGGGAACAACGAATACCTTGACCAGGTAATTTCATGTTTTATCACGGCGGGATAAAGAATGGTTTTTTACAATTTTCATTGATAATCGTTGGAGATATTGGAAAATGTGCCTAAACGCGCAGGTTCATCAACAGATAGCCGCCAAGACGGAAGCGATCCAGGGCCTTTATACAACTCTGGAGAACAAGCAACTGCAGATCATGCGTTTAGAAAAAATGGTGAAGCTGATGGAGGATCATCAAGACCGAGCCCAGGCTCAACGCACGCGTTTGGAGAATCGTATCGCTCAGTTAGAGTTGGCCCTGCAGAGGAACAAGGAACAGCGGTACGTTAGGGAAAAGTCCTCGTCCTCTTTGAAGTTCCGCGCGAGCAATGAGCATGATAGATTGTCGCCGGATTATTATAGCGATTCCGATCATCCAAATTTCAAATTTCAAAGTTTCTCTTACGCTCGAAATCACAACAAGCCGATTAATAAGAGGCCGGATTTCGTGTGCGGTACTATCGGCCCTTCGCAAATTGGATATCAACGCGACTACGCGTATTACGCACCCCGACAGGCGTCCTCCGATGACGAGCAACCGTACATTTGCGAGCGTTGTCGGCAGGAAACGACCGTGGAGAAAGGCGATCAGTGTTGGTTGAACAAGAAAGATTCCACTGACAATTCGAACGAATCTTTTAATTGGCTGGCTAACGAGTCCAGTCAGGACATGACACAGGAATCGGGGAACATCCGTGATTTCCAGAACGATGATTACACGCGTGATCCGCCCCCGTTAGTTAGGGACAGGAGGTACAGCTCCGCGATGTACGATGTGGATGGGGAGTCCGATAACATGGACGGTAGTAGCAGGGAGTTGCAAAACCCTTATCAAAGAAATTATCACCAACATCGTCATCCCTTTCATCACCATCACCATCACCATCACGGCGTTCGGCCGTCGCTGGCGGCTAAGATCGAGCCTCACGGGATCACCTTGTAAATCGATCTGAATCTGGTATATTTCGTTGATGTTCAATGAGCATTATCGGCGCAGGTATTGGCTCGGCCTCTTGACGATACGTCGAAACACATTTTAGATGAAATTGATGCAATAGTCACGCGTGGGGTATAATACACGAGATTCCTGAAGGCGTTGTAAATTTGTCGTCTTTGAATGTTCTTGTCCTCATGAGTGAAACTATCTATGATCGTGATGCAAATTTCGAGTGATTAGTCATAGTCTCATGTAGGAAATCTTAGTATTGTACATTACAAATAAATTTGAACTTTATTGTAATAATCTGGTCTGATTTAATGGGCTAGGTACTCCCTGCTACCGATTTGTTTGCGATGTTGCATCGTTCGATACTAAAGTTCCTTACAGAGTGCCTAGCCTTTGAAACAGACCGATTCCTAATTGTCCACACCTCTCTGATCCACTTCGTTTTTTCTGTGTTTTAGGGGTAAGGGCTTCGGCATCCTGTAAGGAACTTTCTAATCGCCGCCAACGTAAATGCCTCCCATCAATTTAGATCCAATGCGATTATTTCGTGTACTTAATCGTTAAGTCCTTCCGTGAGGAGCATTCTACGGTTCGCAAGATTTTTGGTCCAATATTCAACACGATCAGTTGAATTAAATTGTTGGTCGACGTTTCAAACATAAACTGTATAGCATCAATTTTGTATCGTGGCCTTTTAAGAAAACTTAACGGATTAGTTAAGCATCTAATTTATATATGACAAGGCATATTTTTATTTTATATGTGTACTTTATTTTATAAAAAATTTTATACAATTAAATTATATGTACAATTTTGAATTTGTGTTAATCGCTATCATTATCGCTACTGCCGGAATATGCTCCAAGCAAAGAGAGACCATTATGGCTATTGCTTTTTGAATTTTGTGTACTTTCGTCTGTGATTGCATCTGCATCTTTACTTTCTTCTCTTGATACGTCTGCTTCTTTTATCACAGTTTTTTGTTTATCTGTAGCAGCACCTTTAGAGTCCGTAGTCAACTTACTAACTAAGTTGGTCTTTCTTTTAACTATGCCTAACAAATTCTTTTTATTTGAGGAGGACGGTGCTAAACTTTCAGACCACAACGATGTTTCAGACGTTTTTGCCCTATTTGGTGCATCCTTAGGCTTAAATAAAAGAAGAATTTAGTCATTTCTGTAAATAATTATAATTAATCATTTCAAAACAATGTAATAATATATTCACCTCTTCTTTGATTTCCACAGACGTTGTTTCACTGCTTTTACTTTCGTTTTCGCTTCTTTTAAGTATTTTCTTTGGCGGTTCACGAGTTTCGCTTTCATTTATTTCTACAATTTCTTCTTCTACAACAGTCTTTTTGCCAAATATTGCTTTAACGTATTCTTCATCATATTCTTCCTGTTCCTTCTCTGTCCTTTGCTTAGCTGCTTCCGTATCAAACTGTTCTAGCATTTGATCATAATCAATAGTCTGTTGTCTACGATTCAAGTCTTTCAACTCCTCCAAGGACTCCAGTAATTCCAACTCTTGTTTCGATTGCAATGTTCTTTTTTCCAAGAGTTTCATAGGGTTGGTAGCTTCTTCTTCTTTTTCTTCATCTTCTTCCCTTTGTGCCTGTTCTTCAGCCAATTTTAAAGCCATGAAATTTCTGGTAGCACCCGCCTCAATTTCATAATCTGTGTTCTTAGGATCTGTTTTAAAGCTTATTTCCTGAAGACACCTCGTGCATTTTATATAAAATCTGTAAATCCGTATTCCTAAGTAATCGTCACCCTCTACATCTTCTTTACGTGCATTAAACTTCTTTCCTTTGTAAATGTATTCTCCACAAGTTTTACATCTCATGTTAAAAGGAGCCATCAAACGTACTGTGTATTGCCTGTTCCGGGCTAATTTCATACGCGGGATTTTCGACGGATCGAAATCCGGTGGATAATATTTCTAAAACATTGAAATCCAATAAATTAGTACATCAATTACGAATACAATTGATATGAACAGTAATACAGTATATTATGACAGTATAATGTAGAATATTTTACTTACGTTCAATACTTTACGCTCCGACATTTTGCTGGTTTATTACGATAAAATGACCGTAGAAAATATAAATTTTATTATACAACTCTGGTTTGCAAAGGTTAGACAGAATTCAGGTTATATTTAATACTGAAGCCACGAACTGAACTGGATAGTGTACAGTGCTGCCGACCTTGCTTCAAAGGATTTCGATCCCTGACGTTGGTACGCTTGACAAGGCATCGTTGCAAATACGAAATGTTGTATTAAAAAATGCGTAATTAGTTTAATACTGTGGTTCCTGATTGTGAGTGTTAGAATTAAAAGTGTCGTTGTCGAAATATGAAGTACAGGTAAGTGCAACAAAAGAATATAAAAGGTCATTAGGTATTCTACTTATTGAAGCTGTTCAATCATAATTTAAATTAGCAATCGGTCATTAGAATTTCTTATAAATTTCGCCTCCCTCGACTCCTAGCCTCTTAAATTCTTACACTTGGCGTCAGTTTCTTTGCAAGGAGAAATAAGTTAGATCTAAACGTTTGTTTTGCTTATTAAGTTATTGTTTATTCAATTTTAACAATGTTCATCTTTCTCAAAGGTGCAGGCTGCAAATCGTGGATGCAGTATAAGACTACGATCCAGCATCAAACTTCGAGGGTCTACCTACCAAGTATAAGATAGCTGTACCAGCTTCGGTGAGTGATATTTCAAAGTTTTCTGCTTAGAATTACTTGTTGAATAATAGCGATAAATTGATGATCAGTCAAAGGAATTTGGTAATTAAAAAGAATGTTGGAAATTGCATAGTTGTTATATGCATAATATAGTGGTCATAAAAAGAATTGTTACCTCACTTTGCTTATTTTATCAAATATTGATTAATGAGATTAGAAAATATGTGCTGAAAATCGTAATCATTTAACAGCTGATCATCGATTAACAGTATTATCATTCGTGTTGTAAATCTAAATTTGTTTATCATCTAATGTAAAATTTCCTTGTAACTACTGTATCTTTTCTTCCTCAACTTTCATATTATTGCGTGTGTATAATACTGACAATGAGACAGTATAAAACATTCGACTCTAAATAAGTTTAATGATGACCATCATCAACGAATCAAATGATAATCATGGCAATAATTAGTTAGAGATTGAATGATCCGTTAACGGAATTCGTCTCACGTGGGTCGATTAAAAAGCAGCGGGAAGACCTCCCCGGATACGTTTTTCTCTCTAACGTGAATTTAATATCCGTGAATATAATGCGGGCATTTGACCGAACGATGAAAGCGAGCGTACAGAACAGGCGAGAGGCCGTTTTCGTTTCACGGAATTCGGGCTCTTACACGTATACTTATAAAGAATATTCAGCTAAATGTAAGATCGTGTGTAGATGTATCGCTTGGGTCAGTTTATGACGAATTACAGTGAAAAATATTTAGTGAATCGGTGAATAATTGGGAATATTGATAAGTTAGTTTATATTTTTTATTACGTAATCTTAAGAATTAGTCTAGTGATTTGTAAGTTTCAAATTGTAAAATCTAGTATCATCGAATGCGTTGTTGTCTGTCGCAACAGCTTTCGAAACTAAGCGTACGAAACAACGACGGTCGTTAAATATTAAAGCTTAATCTGAATTCGGGTTTCCACGAATTTAATTGAATCTTTGTGAACGGAACCCTCCCTCTTCTTTTCCGAGACGTCTCACGCGTTCCGCGTTTCACAAAAACGTCCTCGATAAGGAGTGGCAAACGGACTCCCGAAGAACCTCCGTCAGAATTTTTCTAAGAAGTGATGTGCACCGCACTTTTATCCCCAACGCGACCGCACATCTTGGTATGCCGCGTATTGTTATGCGCGCCGCGAACCACGTACTGCGCTCAAACTTTTTTTTTCAACGGCTGCTGGAAACTTCTCATCGTCAAATTTTTACCCGTTCCTTTGCTATCCTCTTTAATTCAAACGAGATCGATATCCCCTCTCTTTAAATATTTTGTACAAGTAGAAGTGCTCCTCGTCGCAACGAGGAAGTCGAGTCCAGTCCAGTCGATTTAAACGATGAGCTCTTAAGCAGTATTTAGTACCGCATTCCCTCGCAGTTTTAGTTCGAAATCAATTACTTAAGAAGCTTCCTCGATCCTTCGGCAATTTTTACCAATTTTGTACCAAGAATGGCTCCTCCAAAGGAGAGAACACGCTCGAATAGGAATCCTACTGGTGCACGCTTTAAAGGGCAGACGATAGAATTTCTTCGGGAACGAATTCTCCGCGATCCTCGCAAGGCATCCAGTCCTTCTGCGAAGGAACCGTCGACTATACTGCCAAATTATAAGGGGAATAAAAACAGTCGTCTGCGGGCGCCACCAGAGATCTCTCTTCTTCCATTCTTCCTCTCTTGTTCTTGACGACGTGATACCACGCTATCGCCCGGACCGAAAAAACGTTCGCCGTCCCAGTGCTTCAACACTTTTTGCCTCCCGTTATCGGCTATTTTTCTTTAAATCACTCGACTCCATTTATTTATTGACTCGCTTGCTTCGCGTTCAACATGTCCCTCTCCTGAAATGGTCTTCAAACGCGGTTTGCGGTTTTTCCTTGTTCTGACGTTCAGAGGGGAGACAATAACGCGTAATGGAAAATGTTGACTCTAATTTCTTCTTGCACTTGCTTGATCCTTAAGTTCTGTACCATTCTCCATAAATTCTCAAAAACAGCCATATCTCTGGCATCGCTCGAGACTGTCCCACCTAAAAAGAAGGGTGGCTTCCTGTACCCCAGGTTCTCCAAACTTTCACAGCCACTGGACGAGGGAATCCATTCCCAAGATCCGGTGGCCACCGGTGCGTCGTGTTCCTCGATCAGCACCACGGTCCCATAGACGGTGGCTCATTGTACACCGTACGAAGACAATGTCTGTCTGGATGGGCAAATTCTGAGGAGGACGAGGCAAGAAAGGGCGCAAGATGGAAAGAGAGAGGGTGGTAGGTCTTGCGAACGTTTCTCGGAAAGCCGAAAACTGAAACACGAGCTGGTCCCGGCCCCCGAGAGTGCGGCGGCACGTGTGACACCGGAGAATCGCCGCCATTCCTCGGTGGCCAATTCTCTCTTTCCTTCTGTTTCCTTCCCTTCTCCTTTTCGCGCCCGATTCTCCACCGTTCCGTATGCTCCATTTGCATATGTATATACTCGGTAAATATTTTCTGACATGATCATAAGAACTAAAAGAGTCGAAGAATCTCTGTTTAATTTGATCTATTGTACTAAGGAGATGAAAGCAATGAAACGAATGTAGAAATAGGTACTTGTAAAACTGATGGCTCGCTGAAGTACAAGAAAATATAAAATACGTATAATTTCAACTCTCTGTTGGAGAACAATATTTTATTGTATTGAAAATTTATATTTTTCCTAGTATTTTTGAAAATTGATTCAATGCACCGTTTCTCTTAACTGATCCAATGTCATGGTCTAAGTTCCATATACACAATATAAGGTAGCCACGGTTAAATGACCAGCAAGGACCATTCCCTTGGCCCTTATCGAGTTTCAGGCGCGCAGGTAACGTCTTAATTGGTGTTCAGGTCTCGTGGATACATTGTCGCTCGGTGGAACGGTGTCGTGAAATTTTAATCTCACCGCGCTATGCTTCGTCTCCTTCGGTGCGCGAGCCACCGACCGTATACAACCAACTCAAAAAGTTACAACATAGGTTCCTTGTCAAATACACGAACTAGTTGTGATTCTTCAATTTTTTAATCATCGACTTCGAAGTAATTCCTGTTGCTTCGTGCTGATGCTGCATACATTTAGAATTCAATGACTCGTTCTATGAAGTTTATTTTATTATCTTATTAGGCCTGAAATTACAATTTCGTACGAGTTCGGGAATATGAGTAAAAGTAAAATGGTTATTCATACAAATTTTAATGAAGTCTGCTATTTTACATAACAGATACGAAACTTTGATTAGATTTGAAACTTTCTAATCATGTTGTATGTCCGAAACGGAGTAGCATGAACGAATGGCGTTCGTACCTGTTGGAAACACAGACGACAGGACCGCGATACGCGATACGCGTTTTCTCCTTCCTTCTTTTGCGAGTTTTTTTGCATTTCGCCCTTTTTGGAATTCCGACATTTCGTTAGCAGTAATTCTTGCTACGGGGGAGGACCTCGGATGCCCGGTTCGTGTTTTGGTTACCTTTTGCTCGGTTAGAATGTAATTATTCAAGGATTGTTTCAGGAATTCGGTACAACTTCTAAATGAAGTTGTAAGATTTATTTAGAGATACGTAATCATTTTTTAATCGAGATTTCAAGATTGTATGGCTAGAAAAAAGATAATTGTATGAAGTGTTTTCACATTTCTTTTTAAGATTTATAAAATGAATTTGAGTGGTAGTTAAAGTGTCTACATGATTCCTACGTGTTATCATTCTCAGTCCATACAAACCTTGTTAAAACCAGATTAGTTTTCGAACAGATTCTTCTGAGACAAACTGTACATCATTCGGTCGATTCGGTTTAGACCTAAGCTAACGCTCGTTAAATGGATTGGAAGGGAATACTTTTCACGGGTTCGGGAATGGTCTCTGGCTCTCCCCGAACAGGATCGGGCGTGTATTCGGTTACTCGCGGCTTGTCGGAAATCCTGTTTGATCCCACGGTCCACGGGAGGAAGAAGAGCCTTGCCCGATTCGTACGTGATAAACGAAAAAAGTTGCTCCGCAACTGCGGCACCTACGTGACACCCTGGGTAAAGAGATTATCGAATTCCAACCGATGCCCTTTTTCCGTCGCGTTGTAACGAAAATCGCGTACGCGGCAAAAACGCGCGCGCTACCGATTTCCTCGTACACGGTTGCAACAAAAATCGCGAATACTTAGTCCGGTTTTTAACAGGACGTCTTCGACCGGCGCAGCGCGCGTGCCTTTCGCCTAACTGAGTTAACTTCCACGCGAACCCGGGGTTGCGTTCCGGTTGACGTAATTGCCGTAGAAAAAAGAAAGGAACGAGAGAGTTGATTCTGCATTCTCAAGAACCTGCAACTTTGTCTAGATCCAACTTCTTCCCGTTCCAAGCCAGGAAAGGTCGTAATACTCATTAGCGACATACTCATGAGAGGAATCAAGCTCGTTGCAAGGTATTCGAAGGTCATTAGTTTTT